GATACTGGATATTCCTACGGGGAAAATATATTTGATGAGTAAGTCTGAGAAAAGAAAGATTTAAAAAGATATCTTTTCAGTATGATTTGTGCAAGATCACTTTTGGAAGTTCACATAGAATAGGAAACCCCAGGTCAAATTCCAGGTTTGTCGCCCCATCTCGTGATTATATCCAATTTCTAAGGGTCTAAACCTTTAGTTAGTTAAATCATTTGTGGAAATGAATCTCTGTAGAATGGTGATTGCCATGGGCTGGGGAAAGGGGGCGGAAATGGGGGAATATTGGTCAAGGGGCACAAACCTCCAGCTATAAGATGAATAAGTTCTGGCGATCTAAAGTAAGCATGATGACTATTATTAACAACACTGTATTATATACTTGAAAGTGCTTCAGAGAGTAGATCTTAAACATTATCACAACATATACAAAAAAGGTAATTATGTGAGAGGATGGAGGTTTTAGCTAACCTTATTACGATAATAATTTCAGAATATACATGTATCAAATCATCGCCTTGTATGCCTTAAACTTATATATAGTATATGTCAATAATATCTCAATAGAGCTAGAAAAATTTTTTAAAGTACACTCCTAAAGAATAAGCAAGAAAAAAGAAAAGAATCTCTGAATTATGTCAAACCATAATTTGGCGGTACAGAAACCAGAATATGATGTAAAATAATATGAACACTGTACTCATCTTCTACAACGTATATTCAAGGAGTTATTGTCAGGCTCACGTGTATGTCAAGTGGAGAGTGGCTTTGAAGTCAGAGAAACTAGATTGGTTGGAGTTAGGGATGGGATGGGAGAGGATTTTGTAAATAAAGAAGGAAACCACAGTCTCAAGAGGGAATCAGTGCTAGAAATTAAGCCATCGCCACTCCCCGATGTTAAGGCAGAATGTTAAAGATTAGACAAAGGATAAAAATTCACATCTCCTCTGCGTGATGAGACAACCCTCAGGGCTGGATAGATTAAAAATCAACTTTGTTTTTGCCTATTCTTGGTTACAAATTTTTTTGGCCCAGAAGAGAATCAAATAATGTGGATGAAAAAAAACTGCCAAATATCCAGTTTGTTTGAAACAACTTGCCTCCCTCCTGTAGAGAGAGCACAGGCTTGCTTGTATTGGTTAACACTGGAAGTTTTTCTTCTTCTTTTTTATTTATTTATTTTTTTGCCTCATTACTATTTTTCTTTTTTTTTGAAAAATCTCAGCAAGGGTCAACCTAAAAGTATCCACAAATTACAAATTATTGCATATGAATCTGTGACTGGGAGGAAGAATCTGGCTTTTGGATTGCATGAACTGAACTGAGTCCTTTCTGACATTATGACTACCTGCAACACCAAGTTTAGAATTAAGAGTATGATTAGATCAATGACGGAAATACTATGAAAAGTAGAAAGACTTGCTCTGAAATCTTATAGGATTACGTGCTTTAAGGGGCCTACATACGTGCATAATTTTAAGATTGTAAATAGACAGCTATTCCCAAGAGCCCTAAAAATGCCCTGGCCTGTGCTTCCCCACCGGCTCTGGAGCATTAATTCAAACACAAGGAGAGACCAGAGGAGGAGAGTAGAGGAAAATCTCTCACATCCAAGAGGTCCCCCATCCGTTGCTTACCAACACTACTTCATCTAAAGTATTGAAATATTTGTTTTATATCCCCATTCCATCCTCAGTTATATAAAAGATAGCTGGAAGAGAATAAAGATTTATCAGTATCAATTAAAATTTTCCATTACCCAGGCATTTCTGTTCATGGGTTTATGACTCATTGAATAAGCCATCTTCCACATGGTGACTATGGGGGGAACTCTTGTTATAATTTATTGTCCTTTTGCCTAGCCACCTGGTCTCACGTTCACTGAATCCCAAATAGTGGCTCGGAGAAAATCTAGTTCCTCAATCTCCGAGACGTTATTAAACGGACTTGATAAATGCATGAGAGGATAAACTGAAATACTAATTCTAACACTAAAATTCATTTTGCTGTGAGAAAAATGTTCTTGCTTCATCAAAGTCCCACTGATATCTCTTTCTCCTAGAGTACAGACATTGTCAACACTGAAAAGACGTCCAACCATTCACTTAAAAGCCATGCTCTCTGATTCCTTGCTAAAAAGGATACCCCTACTACCACGCAATGCCAGCTTTCCAAAATCAATCTCAGATACCTCAATGATTCTCACCAAAACTTGGTTTCGCAGTTACAACACACCGATGAACAGCCCCTGACCTTTCAAGGGGCCCTCCCGGGTTCACTTGGGCCTCCGGTGAGTTAATATGTGCAACAGGACTGTGCATGTTTGGGTAATTTACTTATTAAAAACATTAAAAGCTTTTGGCTCTTTGCCATCCAAAGAAAAAGCAAAGAAATCGAGTGACTCCTGACCCTAGCTTATCAGATGACAGGTGTCATGCTGTCAAGGTCTCAGCACTGACCATGTGGGGAAGGCCACATTTTATAGGTGTTTACAACAGTTTAAGGTTCAGGCTGCCATTCTGTGTCAACACCAGGCTATGCAAGACAACAGGCTGGGTTAGTGGGGCCAGAATAGAAGAATGGCAATGCATAGAAATCCTATCTAATTAAAGATAATATCTTTTTCCTTTTAACTTTTTAAATCAAAAGGAACAAAGCAGAGAAAAGCAGTCTTCCCTTTACATTTCCCAATATGGTAATCAGTAGTTTGGTGACAATCAATTTAAATATTTAAGCTTTACAGAGGTGTCAGCTAGTCAGATTGAACTCCATTGGTCCTCTGGAAAGTGGTCCCAACTTTTTGCTAAATCAACAAACTATTTTTTAGCCATAGTATTCTAAGAGAGAAGACTATCACTTTGTTCTGGTGAAAAACTTAAGCAAATTGTTCGACTGATTTTGGGGGGTGTGCATGCGTTAAAATAGAACTTCATGGGTTGCGTGTGTGTGCATGTGTGTGGGCTCATGTGCATGCCATGTGCACCCTGGTTTTATCTAAATTGCAGGCAATACTGATACAATATCCCCAGATAATTGCTCTCTGTCTGGAGTCAGCGAGTCTGGGTTTAACACTGAAAAGGAACTAAAACAAGTTGTTTTGGTGACTTCAGAAATCACCATATCAAAAGTGCATTTGAATACTCTGGTTCATGAAAATGGATGTTCGTGGAACTGAAATGTACTGTCCCATACCCACATTTTTATCCAGTACTTCATAAGAGGGTCTGGAGTGTCTGCTTAAATGTGGTATGCCTGAATAACTGGAAAGCACCTGATTTGTGGGAGGTTAATTCTCTTGACCACTCAACTTTCTCTCTCCTAGTTTCAATTTTAAGAGTTATACTTGCCAATAAGATCTTTTGTATAAATGGTCAAGTCTTCAGGCTGATAGACAGCTATATTCCATGTTTCTGTGATAAATCTAAAGTATCAAATACCATCATTCACTGCATAACAGCGTTTCATTCAAAGATGGACCTCATATACAATGGTGGTCCCATAAGATTCGTACTACACAGACTAGGTGTGTAGTAGGCTTTAAACTATCTAGGTTTGTGGAAGTACACTCTATGAGGTTTGCACAACAATGAAATCGCCTAACTACGCATTTCTCAGAAAGTAAGTCTGTCATTTAGGGACACATGACTGAAATTTTAATCTCAATTTTTGTTCATGTTGCTCTCTTATGGGGGCAAACTCAAAAGTAAATGATTTGGCATGACAAGTTGGTTTTATGTACATACACAGGATAGCAAATTCATTCACACTATGCTCAGATGTTTAATGAAAAAATTGGCTTTTTATTTGTCATAACTCATCAAGCCTTCTCAAGACTCTTTCTTCCCTCCCACACTCTCCTCCCTCCACACACCCACCCCCAGCCCACTGGGTCTAGGAAAAGAAAAGTTACCTTGTCAATGTTCAGAGTGAGAGCCAATTCCAATTGAAGTCATTACTTTCTGGGAACTAAGCTTCTCTCAGATAAATACTCTTTCTCTTGGGTTTCCTCCTCCTCCCTGCTCCTCTCTGAGATGGTGTCTGTATGAGGAGGCTCTCTTTAGAGCAGGAGGAAGGTGGGCGATCAGATCACATAGGGACTCTGGATACATGCAGAGTCTGATGAGGACTGGCCAGTCTGGCCCCGTGCCTGGTCAGGCAGGATGTCCTCTCACCTATTCATATGTCAGGCCTCTAGTCTCAAAGGGTCTGTGCACCACTGCATCTGTATCCTAACTCTAGACTTCTGCTTGCTCACAGCTCACAGCCCAACCCAAGACATCCACATCTCCTCATGGAGGGTTGTGAGAATTCTGAGACCCAACAGACCTCATGCTGAGCACGGAATTAGTGCAGTCCCAGGTATAGCTATCAAACCCAGATGCCATCATGTGCCTCCAGCACTCAGAGGGCCCTTCTAAGAGGGATGAGGTTTTCCAGACTATGCCATGGAAGTGGTCAAGGCCCCTAGCCCTTGACTCTTCTAAACATATCTGGCCATTTCTAACACACAGCTAAATCTGTTCACTCTACTCTTTCCCCCCACTGTTACTTCACCAGAAGTTTAGCTCTGCGCATGACTTCCTTGTATAACAATGAAATTTCCCACCTTCCCTTGCATCTAGGTGGTTAAATAACCAAGTTCTGGCTATAGGTAAGTGGTTAAATTTGAGAAGGTATCCTTAAAGTTAGACTGTGGTCTTCTTTATCCCTTTTTGTCTTTACTGGCTGGGATGCAGAGGAGGTGGATAGATCTAGAGCAGCTATCTTGGACCATGAGGCAGCCTTGGAATGGGGATCATGATAGAGTAAAAAGAAAGGTGGAACCTGCATCCCTTATACTGAGGACTGCCATCCTATCCTTGAATTGCCCTTCTCCAGGCAACCACACAAGAGAGAAACACATGTCTATCTTGTTTCAACCACTGTTTAGATTTCCTTTCACTCGCAATCAAGCCTAATCTTCACACATCTCCTCTGTCTCCCTCCTCCCTCCCACATTCTACCTGAGTTAAAGGGGAAATGTCCTCTTCCTCTTTCTGACTTGCAAAGACATCTCTTCTTGAGGAATGCTAAGCCTCATGGCTCAGCCTTTTTGACAGAATTGGGGGTCTGCCTCTGGAAGAAATAAATACCTTCTAAGCTTGATTCTGAATAGGTTAACAAGAATTCAAAGGAATTAAAAGAATTTTTTTCAACAAAGACTAACTTGCTGTAGACGCAACAAAATCCTATGCATAATGTTAAAAACTGAGTGTCATATTCCTCTTTCTTTTTGCAGTCCCATTAGAATAATCTTAATCCTACCTGCGGCAACCAAATACTAGACAAGATAGGTGGTGGTGGTTACAGGGAGGTAAGCGGGAAATCAGTCACTAGGGAAGAGGGAAAAGACAAGACGTGAATAAATTTAAGAAAGGTTATCACTATTTAAATATGCAGGGGCTGGCCCCATGGCCAAGTGGTTAAATTCACGCACTCTGCTTCAGCGGCCCAGGTTCACAGGTTTGATCCTGGGTGCGGACCTAGCACTGCTCATCAGGCCATGCTGTGGTGGGGTCTCACATGGAAGAACTAGACTGACTTACAACTAGGGTATACAACTATGTACTGGGGCTTTGTGGAGAAAAAGAAAAAGAGAGGAAGATTGGCAACAGATGTTAGCTCAGGGCCAATCTTCCTCACCAAAAAAGCATAAAAAAAATAAATATGCATATATGTGCATACAAGTGCACACATACTCATATACATGTGTGGAGCTATATATATATATAGCTTATATAATTAGTAATTTCTGCCCCACCAACCTGTACACACAAATGAAGTAATATTAATTAATTTTTTCAAATTCAAAACCCCTCCTAGCTGACATAGACTGTCAGGAATTTCTCCTCAGTGCACCCCCAAATACCCCTCTCCCCAAATTATTCCTGGGAGGGCCTCACTGGCCTAAAGCCTTAGTGAACATGTCCAGGAGACACAACCCCTGCACAGCCCTTTATGCTGGACAGACTTGGTGCTCTGAAAGAGGGCTGGATCAGGGCTCTCACTGCCCCTGCGTTGGGCCCCTTTGCCAGGTACACAAAGTCCCCAACCAAGCATGGCAGCCTGCTGCCTAGAAACCACTCCCCACCCCACCTTGGAGCCAACACCCCTGCCCTTAGAAAGCAAGGCTGCTATTTCTCCGGGCTTCCTCTCCTGTGCTTCCCAAACCCATCAAACGCTTGAGATGCATCAGTTCCTTAGACATGTCTGTGTGACTCAGTGATTCTGTAAACTGCCCGGGAATGGAGAGAGTCTCCTTTCCTCGGCTCCAGGTCGCTGAGGCCCCAATGCAGCACTGCTTGCCCTCCAAATTTCATGAAATCCCTCCCAAAATGCCCAGTGAATACCTCTCTCCCCTGGGGCTAGACCTCCTCTAACCATTCATCCTACGGCTCCCCATTCCCCATCCAAAGACCCAAGAAAAAATCTCAGATCCTGGGTGTAGCCTCTTGAATACCCACCCCTATCTCATCCTACAGGAAGCTCCCCCCTGCTCCCGGACTCCAGACTGGACTTCCTTCAGCAACTTAAATGCACCATGTTCTTTCCAACCCTGGGGCTCGGCATGAACTGTCCCTTATGCCCAACCTGATACCCCATCTCATCCCCAACTCTTTAAGTGCATCACCCCAGTTGCCTTTCAGATCTCAGTGCATATATCACATGCTCAGGGCAGCCTTCCTGGTCCACAGCACCGCATCCCTTCTCCCCTATCAGGACCACCTGCTACACTCTCAGTTACCCTAATTTTCCTTGTTAACACTTCAAACATATAGAGCTCTTCCATTTCTGCGTGCTCGATCTGTATATACACAGATCCTGAGAGTGGCTTGATGACACCGTGCTCTGGACTTCACTTCATCCCTTGGAGACAGGCATGACATCACTTCATCCTTTTACTGCAGTCAGGATGATAGGACATCAGGGAAAATACTTACAGCATGGATTCCTCCAAAGCATAGGGAACCTAAGAATTGGGAATCATAGGCTGAATCTTCTGACATAAGTTTAAACCAAGTGAGATAATGATCTGAAAAATTTAGAGAAGAAAGGGAAAAGAAGAACATACCTTAGAAAGTCACCGTTTTAGAGTATTTTCTTTGAAAGATCCAGGTTGACACCTATCAGAATGTCTAAACACTTGACCACTCGGTTGTTTTGTTTTGTTTTTTTAACTAGGGCAACAGTGAATGTTGGCTGGATTATCTGATGCTGGGCAGACATGCATGGTTGATCCAACTTGCCTGTTTGAGTGATGTACTTCGCCTGTGCCTAGCAAGCCATAAACCTTTTTTCTATATGTCAGTTCTCAGGGCAATCCCTTTTGTTGGCCTCACTCTAAACTTTTCTGGGATGTAAGCAGAGATGTGTGGGAGCTGGCTTGAACAGGCTCTCAAGAGCCCACGTGCGCTCTCTTCTCAACTCCACATTCAGTGGTGTCACACTGGTAGCTCAAAATTGGCTATGGTGGGAGTATATACGATGGAAATCAGTCAGCACCACAGATCAGAGTTTTATTTCCAAAGAACCAGTTGTTAAACGTTAACCAGCACACCACTGGAGGTAAGGAAATTCACAACCAAATTAAGAATCCTGTTTTTAAATGAGTCAATTTAGAGTCACCAGGCCCTGATCATATTTCCTCTACTTCCTTGAAGAGATCACGTATAGCTATTTATTCAGCATGTTATTTTTAAACCTTGCATGTGTTTCTTGGATGAAACTCTTAAGCCACAGCAAGATGAAATAACAAAATAAGATTAGGTAGAGCCTCTGATGTAAAAATTTCTCATTGTATTTAGAGCTGCTTATTCACTCTGGTCTCATTGATACCAGTATGGAACTTCTATGCATCTTTTTCTCATTTGGTTAAAGAAGAAAAGTGAATGGCTGCTCTTCTTTAAGATGAGGGTCAGAAACAATAAAAGAAAAAGATGGGGGAGGGGTGGTTACTGATGTCTACAGGACACCCGACACCTGTGTTCTATAGATGCTCCCTACTGGGCTTCCCTTGACAGTTCTGATCTCCTCCTACTCCAATTCTTCTTCTTTTCTCTCTATTAAAAGACAGAGTTGTCTCATAACAAACTTTTAAAAATAAACATTAAATATTTAAAATAAATACTAAAAGAGAAAAGTTAAGGGGAGAAGTCAGAAACAAATTCTGTGAATAATCCAGTGGTTAAGTTTTGGAAACAGAGAAGACTCGTCACATTTATTTAACTAGCCAGAGCCAAAAATTTTCCTTCCTCTTCTCTTAAGCTTTGGTGTAAAACAACTCTAAATTTAAACTTACATCAAATCACATAAATTCTCCATCTGGAGCCCGATTCTGGTAATATGTCCTTTGGGATAGATCAGCCTCCCTGGCTTTACTTTATGTGAATTTATAAATTCATAACGCAGTCCTCTGGCTGTTTTAATGGAGAAGATTTCCATAAGAGAGCAAAAGCCATCAGTGTCTTTAAATACACCCACACTCCTAAACAGATATGCGCATTTTTTTCTGTAAGAAACAGTCAGACAAAATTCCCATGACCTCAGGACAGAGGGAAAGGAGGTTGATTTTGAAGATTTGGAATCAATGCACTCAGAGCTAACACTTACATGATATCTACAACGTGTCTGACATTGTTACAAGCACTTTACGGGTATCAACACATTTAATCCTCTCAAGATCCTGAGAGGTGGTAATTGTTATTATCCCTACTTAACAGTTGAGAAAAACTGGGGTAAAAAGAAGTCAGGTAACTTCCCTTGGAGCAGATACAGAGAAGTAATGAAGCTTCGACTGGAACCCAGCATCCCGTCTCTAAGATGTATATCGCTGCTCTATCTCACCAAACATTTGTGTAAGGTAGAATCCCCCAAATGCAGCACAGCCAAGGAAAAGTGCTTTATTTGCTTAATTATCTCCTCAAACTGGTGTTTATGTGGGGTCCAGGGGATATCCACATCAGAAGCACCTGGACACATAAGAGCGCAGATTCCCCAGACCCTGCATAGACCTAACACGTTCCAAAGGATCTCATAAGCACACTGATATTTGAGAATGAGAGCCCAAGATGTCTATCTCAATCTGATCCTGAAGGAGATGGTTACCTCGAGCTACATTCTCATCGTTTGCCATTCACCAACATCTTCATTAACAAGTAGCTGTGCCAGTGATGCTGTCCAAAAGGAACGTAATTGATGGCTGGCCCTCGGGTTGGCCTGTGCCCTGATGAGGATGCCAAGGAAGGGTGAAATGATCAAAATGTCAGCCACAGGGGAAAGTTGAGGCCATTGACCTAGCAATCGACATACTGAAAAATAGCTTCTCTATGTTGAAGAGTTGTTTGTGGGTTTTTTTTAATTTAAAACAATAGAACTTGAATTTCTTACTGACATTCAATCTAAGTTCTGCCAAATGGGCGAGAATAAAATATTCAATGGTGTCAATTTGCCACTTCTTGGACATGGAAATAAAGATACTGTTGCAGACGCACATTTGAGATGGCTTCTTTGTAATTAAGGAAAGCTCTATATTGATGCCCCTTTAAAACATCTTACCATAAAAACAAACCCAGACTACTTTGTTCAGAGCAAGCCTGATCTGTGTTCAAAATATTTGGCATTGAGTATACTTCAATGCTGAGATATTATGTCAATAAAAAAATTAACATTTGTAATTTTATTTATTCATTTATCAAATATTTATTAAGTTCATATTATGAGGGCAAAGCCTTATACTACAGGTTAGAAAGACCCCAATTATAAACGGGCTTGCCACCAGCAAGCTCAGAGAAAAAAGGGGAAGATGTCACACAGTATTTTAATTATATAAAGGTTGGGAACAGATACTTTAAATTATCCCTAAACCACAATAAACATGTTTTATCGTGTAGTTTTTAACGTTTTGTAGTTCTACTTAAATTCAGGTTAAAGAACCAAGGAAAGGACCAGAAAGAAAATCTACAGGCAGTTGTCTAGACCTTCAAAGCCTTCTGCCTTTAAGATAACTCTTCAATCTCCAGTGAATGGAGGACGGTGGAAATTTTTAAAATAGCACCACTTGCCTACAAAGACTTATCAATTTTATTTTAACATCCAGCCTCTAAAATGTTTATAACCTCCATAAACTTATATAACTTTTAATAGATTTATTATTTTGAGATAGCATGAGTGAAAACACCCATAGATGAAGAATGGACAACTTGAATCTAAATCTGTCTTGATCAGGCTTACTTATGCAATGTCTTTAAAATGTTGCAGAAAAGAAGTACCTCTTCTTATCTTTGCATTTCCAGTTGAGGCCCCACTGACCAGTTATTTCTCTCATGTCCTTAGGGCCAGTCAGTGCAGCCCCGTCTTATGTGAGGATTAGAGTTTATGGTAAATGTGCATGTGACGTAGAGGTCC